GATATTTCAGTAAAAACTATTGCTGCCTATTATGTGGCTGGCATCAGAGTGTATAAACATAAAAACAGATGTACATACATACATACATACATATGTATGTTATGTATTGCATACATACAATAAGCGGGTTGCCAGCCAGGCTCGCTTTGCCCACAACGGGCTGGCACCACAATGACGGCCCCAATACACCACGTACAACTTCTACTACGGCAAGTATTAGTACGCAAGATGGCGTATCGTACAACCGTATACGGAAACTCTACACTACGGTTATCCTTTTCCAACCAGCAGCGCCGTGCGTTAGGTGCCTCGGCTGCAACTGCAACAGTCTAGGATCATTGATTTTTGCCACGGCCTGAGCATGCGCCTGGCATATTCATCAGGCTCGTCCACTTTTGACTTCTGGCGCGTGTCAATGCACCGTCACGACACGTCGTTGCAGCCCATAATTGACGCGCGCACCTTCCAGACGCAGACGGCGACGCCGACGCTGGCAGCGCGTCGACAGCAGCTGCTTTTTTTGTATATGCATGTCTGTATGCGTTATGTATGCACATATGCTCCACTGCACTCGCTTACCTGTCTGGGCCTGGCTTAAATTGTGTACATTTCTGTTTTGTTTGGCAGCATTGGCAGCTGCAAATACTATCAATAGTGCGATAGAAGTTAGGCACATGGGCATTCCAGGCCCATTTTTATTTTAATTTCGGTACAAGCAGCTGATAGAGATAGAAATGGAACCTAAGTACATACACATACATATGTACATATATAACATTTGTGTACATGCAATTGTTAACATATATAATTATTTAAACGTATGTACTTAACGTATGTTCTTCTCGATATACGTTACGTCACAATTTAACGTAATCTTTTGAACGAAGCCGCATAAATCAGCTAAAGGAAATTAAATGTGTACTTGTCATTTTTCACTGTAAAACAATATATCAGAATCTAATAATGAACAAGCATACCATAGGTATAAACGGAAATGATTGATAACATCTCGATAAGAATTTTTAAAATTTTTATTTCTGCTTAAAAACAAGTAAAGCTTATCAAAAATAATTAAAATTTTTATAAAGAGTCACATATTATGACGTTAGCTGTGGGTTTTTCTAAGTATAAACAGGTGTACACTTAACGAAAGGAAATACCAGCACGTACTGCTTAATAGAAGATTGCAATTGAATATACATATACATATATATGCTGATAAAAGTTATATACATATATGTATGTGTAGATATGTCTGTTTAGCATTCAGCTGCATCGACATCGTTTGCGTATTTGAACTCTTTATAAATAAATACATCTAAAATTATCAGGCGAGACGGCGCGACGCATTTTCCAAAAACAAAACAAGAGGCAGCGTCTAGACGCCTTTTGACAAGCCTTGTAAATTTTATATACTTATATTCTATTTGTGGACTGGAAACAGCTTGAATTTTCATAATTTGCAGATTGGAACCAAGCACAAAGAGCACAAAAGTCGCAACAGCCGAGCTTGGGGCAACTTGTGGTAAATGTTACTATAAAAACGGCCTTGCAAGGCCTTTTAAAGTTGTTGCACTCGCTTTTATTGTTGTTGTTTTTGTTGTTGTTGTTGTTGTTAGTCACCAACAAATACAAACGCAGCGCGCATGCGCTCAGGTGTGTTTAGTAATTTTGTAAATTTTTTTATTATTTTTAATTGACAACCAAATGCAGCGAAACCAGTTTTGTATTTTATTATTCGCATTTGCTCATTGCGAAAAGGTGTCACAACAACAACAACAACAACGACAAGACTTGATTAGATTGCCTTTATTACAACATCTGCCGTGCTCCCTTTCTGCAGCTCGAGGAATTACCTGCCTCAATCAGAGCAGGAGCTAAGGACGTGTGCCAGCAGCTGTCCGCTGACACTAAAAGGATCAAAAGGTGCGCAGCCGGCGCAGCTGTTGCCAGGCCCGGTTTCTGTTGCTTGTTGCCTGTTCAGAAAAATGCTTATTGTGTGCGCGTTCCAGGAACGGGGCATAAGACGTTCGCCAGCTGCCGACTGGCTGCGCAGGATCCTGCAGGATCCTTTGGCGACAGGCCGACGATCAATGCGCACGCACACAGAGAAACAACTCACACACAACAAATACAAACAACACGTAAGCAACCACTTGCGATCGCCACACTGCTTGCACAACTGCTTGAGCAACTGCTTTTGCAACTGCTTGCATTGCTTGTCTTAATACCAGCTGCTGTATGTAATACCAACTGTGCACATGTTTACGCAGTATTATTAATGTACAGCTGTATTTGCTGGCACTTTTGGCACTCAGTGTCATTTTCGCATAATTTATCAGCTTACATGCTTGCCAAAGCAGTTGGAATAATATATTATTATTCACATCTTATCGCATTTTGAAGATAAGATAAAAAACAAGCTGCTTGCTGAAAATGGGCTAAATAAACAGGCCATAAAGCTATAATATATTGGAAAAAATAACAAAAACTAATATTTTGCAATGGAAATTTATTAAATTCTGATAGGAATTTCATAGATATATATTTATGGAATATGTGTGCCCTGAAAAAGAGACTCATTTATTTATTGACATGCCAAAGTTTTTCTCATTGTGTAGGAATTCCGCCCAGTTTAGTTGTGTAAGCTTTTTAAACAAGATAGTAAATATACTTTTAACTAAAAGCATGAGGTAACAGCTGATTATACGGCAAAAACAAATAGACGGCGCTGCCATTAGAAACGTGTTACAGCAACAACAACAACAAGAACAATAACAAACTTACAAATCAATGCGACATTGGGCGGTAATTAAAAATAGGAAAATTCTAAACGAAACCAGAAAATACTTTGCGTGCACAGCAGCTGCTCCGGAGGGCAAGTGGGTGGCGCCGCCTGCGGTGGGCTGCTGTCAGTTAAGCACCATGGCGTGGGCAGGGCTAGGGCCAGGGGTAGAGGGAGGGGCAGGGGCAGGTGCTGGCGAGGCGGCATGAATGAAATGAGCTCAGCATCTCGCATGTAGCATTTCGTCATGTAAATGCAATGTAATGCAAGATAATATTACGCAAATAGATGTGACAAAGCGGGATGGCAATAGACAGAGAGAGAGAGAGAGAGAGAGAGGGAGAGGGAGGTTGGGGTTGGGATTGCATCAAATTGAGAAATACGGTTTTGGTCGTGCCCGAGGCACGTTCGTGCATGCGTTTTTGGCCTGCATGAATGAAGAGGCGAACCACCCCCCAAATACGAATATCCTCTTAAGTGGCAACCACTCCTACACACACACACACACACACACACACAGAGCTTATACTACGCACTCACCGACATTATTTTGGCTGATATGATAGCATCTTATCAGGGAATATTATTTGGAAAAATTTCGCCAGTTCAGAAAGTGAAAAAAAGCGTTTGCTTATCGAAAATTCGTTATTATTTTTGGCACTTGATAAGTGAACGATTTGCTAATTACAAATTTTTAATGCACCAAACTGTTTTTACGACCGTTGGGTCTGAGCGTCACGATGCGACTAGCGCAAAAAATTGTGCGGCTAGCCTAGCCCATTTTCAATGCCCCGTGCCCAAAAGGTGTTGTTATTGCATAGTTTTGTTTTGCTTTCTATGGAAGCAGCGGGATGGAACGAGCTACAGTTGTGGCCAGAGAACTGCGCAATATTTTTGGGCGGTGGTGGGTTTGGGGAGTGTGCGCTGCAAGGGGTAGTTGGTCAGAGCGGGTGAGAGCACATCTAACAGGGGTGCAGTCGAAAGTTCGACAAGATTTCTCTGGTAAATATTCTCATTGGTTTAATTGCAAAAGAAAGAAACCGTTACGACGTTAGCGTAGGGCGGCAAAGCGATATTTTTTGAAATTATGTCATGCAGCCCTGGTGCAGTGTTGCCGTAGCTGCTAACTTTTTGCCATGTGTACACACTGTTGCTTGACATCGTCGCATCGGAAAACTATCGAGAGTACATGTTGAGGCAACATGTGGCGACACTCACAGCTTACGTTGACAACTGCGAGCATTCACCAGATGCAGCAACATGTCACTCTGACAGGGTCGCTCTCTTCTCTCTGTTTGCTCTGTCCCTCTCTTTCATCAGTTTCATTTTAACCTTTGTCGTGGCCGCACGGAATGGCACGGATTGGTGAACGAAATTAAATATCAAATTTATCCGAAATATGCACAATAAATTGAATTATTGTGCATTGCTCTATCTAAGCGACTGAGCCCAAAACAGTGCCCACAGTTTGCGCGTGCCGAGAAGCAAAGTAAGTGCGTGCGTTTGTGTGCGTTTCGGTTTCGATGCCGTTGTGCTGTGAAAAGTTTTTACTGCAATTTATACATTTTTCTCTACGTTTGCATATGCGTGTTTGTGTGCTGCGCGTTTGCAAGTGTGTGTGTGTGTATGGAGCGCTGTTAAATGCCTTTACATAATTACGCGCTGTATATCTAGGCATTACAATTCGACTACAAATCCATTATATAAAAAAAGGCGAAAAGATTGAGTGAAAAATATCGGTTTCCATCTTTAGTTGCGTTCTTCGTTCTATTTACCCGCGTACCGACGTCAGCGTCGCGGCTGTTGAATTTATGTCAAATTGGTAACACACACATATACACACAGTGTTGCATATTGCGTATGTGTGTTGTTGAAGAGCGAGTAAGAGAGAGAGAGAGCACGCCTGGCTAAAACACAGAGAATAAGCGAGCGCGCGAACATACTTACAATGATAAACAAAGTGTAAAAAACAGCAGCAACAAATGTTCCTTCTTTCTTTTCTATTTAATGCTCACATTAATACGTTGTTGTATTGCACTGTGCGTATTGTGTGCTAAAATAAAAACGCAGTGCGACAACCCTGTGCTTAAACTGCATTCAAAATGCCAGCAGCGCCCTAGCGTCGCAGTCGGCGTCAACATCGGCAGAGCCCAGGCGGCAGTGTTGTGTTTTATGTCAAAATAATTTACGCGCAACTTTTGCCTTAATCTTTTCTTTGCAGTCTGTAGCAGCAGCAGCAGCAGCAGCGCGCAAATGGATACAATGTTTGTTTTTAATGTTAAGCGAAAACTTAGAATCAAAAAAGAAGTGTGATAAATGCTAACACGAAAATTGTTTTGCAAGCGTCTAAGAAAAACGGCGGAGAGAACGCGTCTGCCTGCATGCGCGCCTCAATGTGTGTGTGTGTTTGCGTGTTCTTGTGCTTGTGCTTGTCTGGCTGTGTCTGTGCTCCCGGGAGCGTGTGACTGTGTGTGTGTATGTGTGCAGTGAAGTGCAAAAGAAACACGATAAAAAAAACAACACGCCAAGCAGTTGCGCCCGTTTTAGCTGATAAAGCGTATAGAAAAAAGTACAACAACAACACACACAAAGCAGTAGGCACGAAACGAGTGAAAATAGAAAATTAATAATTAGATAGAAGAAGCAGCAGCAGCATTCACACAGGCGATTTGTAAATGATCAGTGCTAAAAAAATAAGAAAAAAAAATTAAATGAAAAATTAAAATAACAAATCGTGCAACTTTTCCCATAAATAGTGCAAATCAAAATTCTCGGTGCAGCGGCCAAATTTGTATCGATCGCACACAGCAACAAATACAAACACAAATACAAATACAAATACAATTACAAAAGCAACAATAACAAATCGCACATTAGATTTAAACTGCAACTGTTGGCGCCTCAAGCGCCGTTATTTAATACCGCAAATCCGTCAAAATGTCAACAATGGAGGTGCGCAACAACTCGGCCATGATGAAGCGTGCCGAGCAGCTGAAGCGCTGGGAGGAGTCGGACACAAATCGCGCCGCCCCCACGCCCCGTCGCGAGGACTGCCGCAGCATCAAGTTCAGCTCCGGCTGCGTTTTTCTCGCCGCCTGCCTCTCCGGCGACAAGGAGGAGGTCGTCCAGCTGCTCAATCAGGGCGCCGACATTAACACGGCCAATGTGGATGGCCTTACCGCTCTGCATCAGGTGCGTATTCTATCAACCTGGCCCGCTTACTGCCCTCTCACCCCCATTACACTCGCATGTGTATCGATAAGCTGTGAAATGTATAAATGGAGCACATTACGTCAGAGATTGCGAACACGCGACCCAAGCAGGAGTGCTAGCAACAGGGGTAAAAGGGGGTGGGGGCAATTTCGAAACTGTTGCGCCCAACCGAGCAGCGATGTCAGCGTCGCAGTCGCAGCTGGCGTCGGCTCATGCTACATATTTTTATACCCTGTATCTAATGAAAAGGGGTTTAATGGTTTTTTATGGAAATGTATGTAATTAGCCGAGAGGCATATCCCATCACATATCGTATGCTCTTGGTGCTTAGATAAATGTTAAGCATATATTGTATATCGTACATCGTATATATGCACATAAATCTCGTATATATGTAGCTTCAAGTAAAGGATCGTAATACTTTTCTTGTCCCCGCACACGCTCTATCAAAATAAATACATAAGATGCACCAGCTGTGGGTATATTCCCACGCCTTGAACTGATTACAGAGTATGTATTAGTCGGTAGCTTTGTGATTTCTTTTGTTACGGCGTATTTCGTGCTCTCGCTGCGGTTTCCAAAGCACCGCAAAAACCACTAAAACATTAACAAATACATTTCTAATGCAAGCCGACGATTTACAAGTCGAATGCCCGAAGCAACAACAAACAACAAACAACAACAACAAAAACAACAACAACAACAACAACAACAATAGCAACAAACGGCAAAACGGCGCGAGCATTAAATAAGAAAAATACAAAAAAATTTCTATTTTTAAATGCCAAGAAAAATATACAATACACACACATACACACACTCGCGCGCACACACACATATATATATAGACAAATGTTCGTTTTGTATATAGAAAAGATTTTCGCAAATCATTTTCATTTTTCTTTCGATTTCGTTCGTTTGTTCTTTAAGCCTTCGCAAGAAAAATATAGTATACTTTAAAAAAAAATAGGAAAAACCAAATTGAAAATCTGTGTAGAATTTTATTTCATGCGGCGCTTTTCAATGCAAACACAAGAGCTGCAAAGAAAGACAATTCTCATGTATTTCAGCTGAAAATGTTTATAATTCCTCATGGGGCTAATTGAATTGTATCTATGGAAATTTAGTGAAAATATCAAAAGGTAGTCGATAACTGAATTTATTGGAGGTATCCATATTATATACCCTAAACTTATCGACAATGGGTGAAGGGGTATAAGGCTTTTGTGCAACAGACAACGGGTAACATCTTCGATCCCACAAAGCAACTATATTTTCGATCAGCTCAGTCCGTCTCTATAAAGTAAATAAAGTAATTTGAAGTAAATATTATCGTATATCTTACGTAGGATGATAAATATGCTCCTCTTAATCATAAAATCTATTAATTTTAATTTTAAGACAGGCCTTTTCAAGCATAACTCGGAGATTTGCATTTTAACTGCCAAATCCCACAAATGGTAATAATTCCTATGTCAGTCTATATGTCGCAGACAAGTTTAATTCCTATATGCCAAAGTCACAGTTAAATGCAATATGTGTATAGACTTTTAGCAGCAACTGTCTTTTGAGTGCAGTTAATTGATTTGAATTATGCTGCGCCCGCTAAGAGCCAAGAGATTTTCACCATTTAGCCGCGGCGCACTTGTTAACCAGATGCTAATATCTACATAATCATCAGATATGGAGCAGCCTGTCTGACAGGTGGTGGCTGAGGTGTGGTAGGGGTAGGTGGAGGGGTAACTGGGGGCAACTATAATTACAGCAAATAATAACAATGGGAACTGTGCACAGTCTTGAATTACCTGCGGCTGTTTTTGTTGTTGTTGCTGTTGTTGTTCTTCTTGTTGTTGTCGTTGTCGTTGTTAAACCGCAAACTGAATTTCTATTGCATTTTCTTATATGCTGTAAGTATTATAATTAATTAATTCATCGCTGATTTTGATGATCAAAGTCTTAACGCGAAGGCTCCGCTTGTGTGTGTGTGTGTGTTGGTTTTTTTTTTTGCTGCTTTCTTTTTACAAGTGAAAATTGTTTGTTTCGGCTTTCATTCATAAACAACAAACACTTGAAGCCAAAACACCTGCCTCGGCCGTATTCAATGGCAAACCAAAACGGCTGCCACCTTCGGCTATGAATGATGATCATGATGATGAACATAATGGAGATGACGAACAGCAGACTTTGGGCAGGGGGTGTTTCGTTGGATGTCGGAGCTGTCCGTGGCGGTGCGTTGACATTCAACACGCCAGGTGGCGTGGGGTGGTGGGGCGTGGGGCGTGGTACGACGACTGCAAAATGTTTTGCAATAAATTACAAATGTTTGTTTACACATGTTTCATATACAGTTGGCATATATATTTTCTATATATTCTACATGTTCCATATTTCAATGTTATTTCGTGCATAGTTCAAGGATAATGCGATTTTTATAAATATGCCGCATGGCCATCTACATTTATCATATCTATTTGTGCTATAATTAAACTGCTTTTAAATCGGCTGCAAAACAAATACGCAATACGCCAAAATACAAATCATAAATAAATCAATTCTATGCAGCTTGAAAGTACGTTCTAGGCTCAGCTTTAAATATCTTAAATATGTTTTAAGCTAATGAACTTAGCTTAAGCTAAATGCCAATACTTTTTAATTGTCTAATTTGCATTTTTTACATACGCAGCAGTTTTTCGCTGCTGCTCGAAACTTTGTTTTCAGCTTTAAAGCTTGATTCATATCCTCTAAACATAATCTTTTAATTCCATTTTGTCTTCCGCTGAAACAGTTTGTTTCTGCGCTTGCATATAGAGGTATTATAATTTTGTCATGTAGATTGTATTGAATAGAAGGAGAATTCTTCCCGACCCTATAAAGCATATCTATAGCCTACATCCATGTGATACGAAACTTTGCTTGGATCTAGCTTTATAAGCCATGAAAGTTCTTGTATGAAAAATCTTTTGCTTAACGAGAATTAGCCCAATTTTCAGGCCTTTTAAAGGTTTTGCCCATGCACCTTATGGATCATAATATGAGTTTTTTTATGATATCTTGAAAAACACATTTGCAAAACAATCCAAAATCTTTATGATATTCTCTCGGCTATAAAGCCTTATGTCTGTAAGGGTATTCAAACTGCGGCTAGAAGTTCTTTCTGGTTGTCTTTTTCTTCTCATTTTAATTGTGGGATTATAAAAACACGCGTTTGAACAACACTTGAAACGGTTTTTGGTCACATTATAATTAAGATGTCTTCAAGATTTGAGTGACATGTGCGCATATAAAGAACGGAGAGCCTTGAATATAATTTATCATAATTTGAATGCGCGCTTATCTTAAATGCTGGCCAATTAGTTTGAGCGCCATTTGCAATTGACAATTGGCCCAGACACAGGCCGGTTAAATTGTCGCATAAATTAGCTAATTATTTTGTCAAGTTTTGCAAATTGAGCGATATCTCCACACGAATGCATAATATATTATCGGAATATTGGCAGCAAGTCATGAATCGTGATCGTTTAGACGTGACCCCAAATCGATATTCGATGTGTGCTCTGCTCTGCTCCGATCTGATCTGATCTGATCTCTCGCCAAAGTCCTGTCTCGGAAATCGCGGAGCAATTTTTGAGTTGCGTTGCGTTGCGTGAGTTTTTCCAAAAACAAAAATAATAATAAAACAATATTGTTTTGTTGTTGTTGCTGTTGTTATTGTTAACGCGCTTTATTGACGTGTTTTGTAACCTTGGCCCGGTTCTATCTCTGCGCTCTCAGCAGCGGGGCAGACGGAACGGACGGACGGACGGACGGATCCAAAACGCACAGTCAGTACACAACAGCAACAGATACAAATCAAACATCCTCAAGAATTCACAGCGCGTGTTGCATGCGTATGTATAGATATGTATATATATCTGTATATTGATGTGTTCATATATATGTGGCATATAAATGGCTGCTGCGGCTGTGGCTACATTTGATTTGATTTATTTCTCGTTTGGTGTTTTACACCCAAAATAACAAACGATGCTGAAAATCTTGCGAATTGAGCTAACTGAAAAATCATTCTATGCGATGCGATCTAATGTGTCTGCAGCGTGTGTATGCGTGCGAGTGTGTGTGTGTGTGTGTGTGTGTGTGTGTGTGTAAAGAGTGCATTGCATAATACCATTTCGAGCAAAATCTAAAAAAACAACAGCAAAAACAACTGCAAAATGTTCATATTGCCATTAAATTTTTGTACATTTTACAACTGCCGCTGGCTCCCAGTTCTCCATCTGATTGTATTATTTGAGCTCATTTTATAGCTCACATACACACACACACACACACACACACACACACACTCACACAAACATGGCTGTGGGGCTGGTGAAAACTTATGAAAAACTAGAAAAAATGGAAAATTGTTGTTGCTTTTAAGGCGAACAAATATACAGATTTATAACACAGAATGAAATTTGTATACCCTGAACCCATTGGAAAGGGGTAAGGCAGGGTATATTGGTTGTGCACAGGCAGCAGGCAATATATCCGAGCCTAGTTAGTATATTTAAGAGCTAAGTTGATCTTATATGAACGCGTTGATCTCGAAGAAAACTTATATATATTTAAGATCGGACTATATGCACCGATTTAGTCAAGAATGCGAGAAGAAGCGAGAGCAGCCCCTGTGTGTTTGTATGTGTTTCTGTATAGAAGGCAGTTAAAGTATTTATGTAGGGTACCTCTCAGTCTGTCACATCCCGACTACTTGTTTTTCTTTGCAAAATCTATGACGAAATATGCACAAAAATAGTTTTTCATGTATATGATCTGTATATTAAGGGTGGGTGGATCGGCAAGCAGCGTCTTTTTGTGAATGTTTTATTTATATGTCGCAACTAAATGCGGAAATGTGCGAGTCCAAAAATCATATAGCAAATATTTAAAGGTATTTGCAAAAGTTCAGTTGAAATCAATTAAGTTTATTCGAAAAAGGGGTCAAATGGATTTCTCTTCGGTTTAGTAATTTATTTATCATAAAATTTCGATGCCAGACGATTGCTATATTATATGATATACAATTTCACTCTTGAATATTGGAATATTTGGTATATTGAAATTATAAAGAACTTCGTAATAGCTGAGCTTGAATGAATTGTAATTGTATTTTGAGCACATTTGAGCTATAAAGAAGGCTTATAATTGCTGTACTATATTAATCTTGTGGAAATTTTTGAATCGTTCTTTGCATATATATAGATAATATCATATATATATAAATCTGGCCAATTTGTGCTGAGTAATGTGGCCCACTCGCACATTCCAAACATTTTGCATAATCAACATAATCAGAATTATCATAAACAAATGCTACGAGCATTTGCCATGCATATATTGTGTGATTTTTGTTATAATATAACAAATCTGTTTATATTGCCCATTTTATGCATTCTTTGCTTGTTAATCATGTCTAGGCATTTACTGTATTCCTTTTGAATCTCTTGGCACAGGTGGCTCTGCTCCAGTCTTTTGATTTGGCCATGGCCAAAAATCTATTAGTACACGTAACTGAAATAACACGGCTGAGCAAAAAACGGACCGAGTGAAATTAATAGACGCCGCTTCGCAGTTGGCGCCGCTTTTTTTCTTTCATTCTCTTTAATAGAATTTTTTTTTGGCAGCTAGGCGAGGGCGAGGCATTCAAGTGGCATAAAATACACGAGAACTTTCCCTCAAAAAATAAAAAGAAACTAAAATTATTTGAAATTATGAAGGCTTGCCATAAACCATAAGAACATTTTGCCATGTGCCTGGCCATTGTGTATCCAAAATGCGAATCTTTTTGTATATATTATATATAGTCGAGTCGCATTGAATATTGGACAAGTGCCTTGAGGCTTCCGCTGCTAATTCAAATTGTTTTCAAAAATCTGTTCAAGCGAATGGTTCGCTTTGCCAGCGATTGCTCAACTGGTAATGAGAATTTGTTTAAGCAATTAATTAAAATTATAGATATCTCAATTTCTGTAGGCATTATAATCAAATAAATGTAGCCCATTTGTCAAGAGAACATGTTAAGATAAATCTGTTGCAAAACTCAGTCTAATGTAGATTACTTTCTTGGTTTTCAACTAAATTTCTTAATAATAATATAACTTATTATCATAAAGGCAAGTAAAAGCCAACTCCTAGTGCAACGATTAAGAATGAGGCACAAAGAGGAACTGCGAAATGAGCTATCGCAACGATTAAGGATGAGACGTAAAGGGGAATTGCGAAATAAAATGATGATAATAAAGTACATTGCGAAATTGCTTAATAGTAATATGACTTCATATCATGTAGGCAAGTAAATGCCAACTTCTAGAGCAACGATTAAGGATGACACGCAAAGAGGAATTGCGCAATGAAAGGCGCTCGAAAGGTTATTAGCACACTGTAGCGTAGAGTGTGCTCTTCCGAACAACACTCCCAACAGAAGAGAGTCAGAAAGGACGCTGCCTGAGTTGATATGCAGCTTAGTGTACAAAGTGGGCGCTGGGTTTTGTAGTTAAGCGGCTTGTTGCTGCCGCAAAGTCGTCTCAACAAGTTGCTGCTGATTGCAGCAATATGCGGCGTATACGTAATGCGGCGGGGTGAATAACATTTCGCACAAAGACAGGGACAGTGAGAGTGAGAGGAAGAGGGAGAGGGAGGGATAGAGATAGAGATAGAAGGAGAGGCAACAGACAAAATGCCGCTCAATGGCGTGCCAAAAACAAAAGGCTAAACTTAGCATGCAATTCGTAGAGCGCCTTTCTCGCTGGCCAAGAAAAATTCGCTTTCAATGCAATGAAAATAGCACAGAATTCGCTGTGGCTATTACTGCTGCTACTGTTGCTGTGGCTGTGGCTGACATTAACACCAGACCAGAAATCAAAAGTCACAAATTGTCAGCCAAATAGCTCATGTCAAATTTTGCATGCCACAGTTGTTGTTGTTGTTGTTGCTGTTGCTGCTTTTGTCGGGATGGTCACGCGTGGGCGGTCCGCCCATCGTCGTCGTCGTCAGTTGGTCAGTTTATCAAAATTGCTCATAATTAATTAATTGGCTGCGTTCCAGATTTACAAATTGCTCACAGTCTCTGCCACCGTTTGGTTTTGTATTGCCTCCGCCCGTGCCTCGTGCCCCGCGCGCCTTTTATGCGTTTTTACTGCGAAATGGAATTTGCTTTTGCATTTCCAAACCAGCAGACCCTTTTAAATTAAAACAAAAAAACAACTAAATTAACATATGGCGACTATAAAACAATCAAAAAACATACAAAGAACTAAGGAACATTTGAATTTAAATACTCCACATGCTTATCAAAAGCAACAATTGGTCGAATGGGCATTCGCATTGGTATTGGTTTTGGGGCCTGAAGTTGTTGCTCTTTTTGTGCTCTTTTACCTTACCCATCGAAAATGAGTGGGAGGGTATATTGGTTATGTGCAAATGTGTGTAACAGGTAAAAGTAACTATATCTGAGAGCGTAATGGTCAAGATGTTGAGCTGAGTCTAGCTTTCCATTGAGACAGAGTTTTTTAAACATAACTCGAAAGATATAGAAGCTAGACACTCCAAACTTCGTATTTAAGTTCTCTTACAGTATATACAAATTTCAAATATTTCACTTTATACACACATACTTTTGTCTCTCATATTTAAGCCTCCAAAAACTTCCTAATGATTGGAATGTAAAGCCCAAAGTCTTGTATAGAAGAAAGCTAGAATGCGTTTAAAGGCAGTTGGGTTCTACATTGAGAGTATCTTCTAGTCGGACTCTTTTGAATGAAAGACTTCTCTGTTTTTTATTTTTTATTGTTAAGAATTCTTATCGCCATTTCACTGCCTGCTAAGCGTCGCATTGTTGTCGTTGTTGCTGCCATTGGGCGGGTTTTGTCGCTAGATAGCGGCGCATAGAAGCCGCTGTCGCCGGAGTTGCTCATGATGATATCATCGCCATCATCGGTTGTCGTCGTCGCCGATTTTGCTGTTGTTGTCGTCTTCAATGTGCATACGAGCGAACGGCGATGTCTTCGCTTCAACGGAAATCCGCATAAACAATGTTGTCCATGTGCCACGCTCAGTTCCAGTCCCAGCGAATATATGTCTCTGTATATCTGTGTGCGTCTGTTTACTTTAGCGTTTTTAGCAAGATAAACAGAAACTGTAGCAGAGCTATTAAAACATGGCACAATTACTTGTACAAAAACATGCGAGCGCGTATAAGAGTCTATGAACGGCAGTTGAACCCGAAGATAAAAAGAAAATTCCCACAGCAGATTTATATTGCAATGTATTTAGTAAATCTATAAAATAAGCAATTGGCAAACTGTAAACAAGGGCATAAATTGATCAACTGTGAACAAGAAATGCAAATTGGGTCAAAAGAGGTTTCAGATAATTGTTAAGTTATTCATGTGCCTTTCCTCGCAATGAATTGATTTGAAAAAGAAGATTTATAGAAGAATCGCTTGAAGTTATTTATATGAATCTACTTTACCAAAAGCGTGTTCTCAAAATCACTAAACGAATAAATTTCTTATCATTTTTATGTAGCATAGTTTTCGGATCGTAACACCTGAACTTTAAATATTTGTAAATGCTGCTTAAAACGGGTGTCACAGCTTAATTGGCCATTGGCTTACACAGTCTTATGTATACACTTTTAAAGCTTGATAATTAAACTTAATCATTTTTTGACTTAAAGGCCTGCATCGATGACAAGCTCGACATGGTTGAGTTTTTAATAGAGCACGGCGCCGATATCAATCGTCAAGACAACGAGGGCTGGACGCCGCTGCATGCAACCGCCTCCTGCGGGTGAGTAACCACATTTTATCTCCTATCCTCCACAGCTATTTATCGCAATCTCACTTACAGCTTTGTCAGCATAGCATGCTATCTGGTGGAGCATAACGCCGATGTGGCTGCCGTGAATAGCGATGGCGATCTGGCGCTCGACTTGGCCATCGATGTACAGCACATGCCCATGATTAACTATATGGAAAAGGTGGTGCAGGAGCTGAATATTGATGTGGATCAGGCACGTAGGGCCGAGGAGCAGGCCATGCTGAAAGATGCCAAGCGCAGCGATGCGGCCGAAGTGGATCAACCGCATCCAAAAACTGGTGCAACGGCGTTGCATGTGGCCGCCGCCAAGGGCTATACGAAAGTGCTACGTCTATTGCTGGCCCGTGACTGCAATGTTGATAGGCAGGATAACGATGGCTGGACACCATTGCATGCTGCCGCACACTGGGGCCAAAAGGAAACAGCTGAAATGCTGGTGGAGGCATTGGCCGATATGGATATACCCAATTATGCTGGCCAATCCTGCATCGATGTGGCCGATCGCAAAATGGTCAAATTCCTTGAAGAACTGCGCGCCAACAAGCGCAACAAACGGCGTCCATCTAGTCAAATCAGGTGAGTGGCCATCAGCAATCATAAATCACAAGGTCAATTACAAATCATATTATTTGCAGCAGAATCTCAGATGCGATTGAAAATCATGTGGACAAAACACGAATGAAACTCGTACGCGTCGAAGTGAGAACTGATGCCGCTAAGGATGGTGCGTACACTCAATTCCAGATAGCTTCAAAAGACCTACCCTCAACGCCTTTCCGAGCGCAGCTGCTTATTTGCATATTTTATATAAAACAAAGTTTTCTTTAATTTCTATGCCAAACTTTGTGCGTGTCTTTGTTTTTGTACATTCGTGCCACTCAATTAGGTTCACATGCGCGTTAAAATTCAGTTTCAAGCATTTATTACAAAGCAAACTTTGCCACAGCCTTGTTCACGTCCACGTCCTCGTCTCACCTCATCTCCAGCTGTCACTTTGTATGTTTTGCATCTCATCTTTATCATCAATGCCATCAATCTCATTGTCCAGTCAACAGTTTGTGTAATTCTCTATCAATCTATCTCTCTCCTTTCCCACTTTCTCTGCCTGCTATCATTCTCCTTCTGTGTCTCTGTCTGCTCTATTTGTGTCTTGTCTTTGTCCACACCGCACACTGCAGCTGCGAGCGGTTCGCTTAACGCCAGCGATCAAGTTGCGCTCAATGATGATGTTGCTGCCACAGTTGTTACTGCTGCCCAGGATCATAATGATGTTGATGATGATGATGATGTTGATGTTGAAAGCGATTCAGAGCTGAGCGATTCGACAGAGAGCTCACACAGCACAAGTCTATCCGAGAGCGAAGGTAGTCGCTAATTTGTTGAGATCCTCAGTTAATCGCCTACCCCTCAATGTGCTTAAAGCCTGCATTAAGCCAAGACTAACCGATTTAAATACCCTCATTCTGTATGCCATTACCTAATATGTTTTCATATTCTGCTTTTACAGCTGAAAATGTTAAACCCAATCAGCATATACACGCTGGCGAGCACTCTGCCGAGGAGGAGGCGCCGTGGCGACGCAAAACGCTGCGCACGCCCAACGACAGTCCCACTAAGAATCGTAAGTCATATGTTCCCGATGCTAATCAGTTTATAATATGATCTATATACTCTTTTGCAGAAGTTCCTGATAAAGAGCTGAGCGGCAAAAGCGCCAATGAGAGCGCCAACGATGTCATCTTGCGGCGCACGCAAAGCTTTGAGAATGATCAAAAGTAAGTTGAGCCGCACACACACACGCAGACACATACAGGCGCACAACTAGCTTAACTAGACACAAATGCGTGCCACACACATACATGTACACTCCACAACAAACACACAAATTAACCCGCATTTAATACTTTAACAATTTGTATATTTAATGTGTCACAAATTGCACAACATTTTCGGTTAAATTTGCCGTTTGTGTTTCACTTTTGCTGATTGCGCGCCGCTTATCAATAAACACCTCACGCAGCTTACACACACACCTCTACACCCCAACACCTCATTATACAGACACACACACACACATAGAGACAAACGTACTCATTGAATTGGCCATTATCGAACTTTTTAAAATTAGCCACACTCTCAACTGTTCAACTGTTGTCTTCACTCAAAAGAGCTTATGAATCAGATAAAAATTTCCAGAAATATATATATTTGTATAAAGGGGGCAACGTTTAGTGTTCAAATTCTATAGAGAGCATTCGAGTCTCAGCTGCGGCGCAGCGGCAAATTGTGAAGCACAAACTGTAAACAAAAGAAAAACCTTACGAACGTTTTTACATTTTATTTAAAATTTGTTTTGTTTTGCTATTTTTTCGTGTGTTCTTTTTCTTATGTGCAACAACAACAACAAATCACCAAATCGCACCAAATTCATCAAACGCTTATCAAAAATCCAATTCTAACCCGCCCGCCCGCCTGCCACAACCCGTTCGCCCCGCCTGCCTGTGCTCTGCCCATCCGCCCAACTGCCCATCTGCCCGCCCTGATCCGTGCAGATTCTATCAAAAGTACAATGAGCTGCGGGCGCGCATAAAGGCGAACTCATGTCCCATACTGCCAGCGACGACGGCAAATGCTCTGCCCGGCAATGCTAATAACAACAATAACCAAAGTAGCAATAACAACAATAATAACAATAACAACAACAACAATAACAATAAAAGCGCGCTGCTGTTGGGAAAAACTTTGAGCACAACCAGCGTCAGCAGCAGCAGCGGCAGCAGCAGCAACAACTACAACAACACAACAACCACAACAACATTCAACACACACACCAACAACACACCAACAACAACTGCAACAACAGCAGCTACTACAGCGAATCCAAGTCAAATTTATAGCGTACAAAGATCGGCCTCCCTCAAAGATAACTCAGTGTATTTCAGGTTTGTTTTGTGCCAAAAGAAAAACTCGCAACTCCTAGTCATAACTTCTAACTAACTGTAACTAACTAGCAAGTACTTGATAACAATTAATAGAACTGTAAACTGTAAACTCTAAACTTTAATCTATAATTATTGCTTTTGCTTAGCTTCTCTATGCATTCATATATGTATAGTGTATCTATATCGTGTATCTATATCCCCGACAAATTCTCATTGCACCAACAACAATGTCTACTTAACATTTATTTAGGCAGTGCGCACAATGTCGTCTACCTCTCTTAGATGTGCTGTTTAATCTAATGCAGCGACTCTCTTTAATGTTTTGCTCTCTCTTTTATCTCTTCCACTCTCTCTCTCGCTCTCAATCCTTGTCTGCTGCTCTCACAGGAAACCAATCGGTCCAGCTACGATGCTGACAGCAGCGACAACAACGACTACAACAACAACAACGACGCTCAGCTCACCATCAACAACTGTGCTTACCCCACCTATACGCAGGTGAGTCTCAACCATAGAGTAGAAAGAAGGTTTATTTAAAGATTAGTTTTCACTTGTCATAAATTGACATTTGGTAAAACTCAGGTAGGTTGTAACTTGGGGGTAAGAATTTCCAGTATCTTGTCAAAAATTAAAAGCGAGCACTTAAAAGTTAAAGGCTGAGGCTCTGAAAACTTATCGATAGTGTTTTTATAGGGATTATCGGGCGTATGAGCGATACTGTTGAAATATTTATTTACGGTATTCAGCGTTACGAGATTCATGTGACTTACGATAAACCTAAACAAACGAATCGATTGTTGCAGAAGTAGCTTTGAGTCGATTATTATTTACATTTTGAAGGTTTTTGTTATAAAGAATATTCAGTCAAAAAGAAAAATATTTTAAATTTAATTAACAATATTTTAAAAAAGAGCATAAAACTAGGTTAACAGTTGCTTGATTAGAAGGCACAAACCTTTTGTTAGTTACTTTCAATTAATCGGTCAATTTTAATCGATTACTGTTATGTTTAAGTTATATATTTTATCATCGGTTTATTATATATATATATATATATGTATATATGCCTATATACGCCCGTTAGCAATCCTGCCAACAACAACAACAACAACAATGCCAGCTCTACGGCAAGCGCCAGTGCAAGTGATGTGGAGACCCAACCTAAACCCAAGCAATCGGCGGGCAATATATTCAAGAACTTTTTCAAGTAATCATGATTGTGAATCGTAATTGTTAATTGGCTAACTGTTGTTATGCGCTAACCCGAAGAGCCGTTAAAACTGTGCTAGCTGCTAACAATCTAAAGCCCCGCCCAAGGCAAAAATAAAGACGCCTTTGTTTTATTGTATAGCATGTGCTGCGCTCTCTCTCATTGTTTTTTGTGCACCAATATGTTGCAAGCTTACTAATTAGTATCTCTTTACCCCTTCTGTAGATCCTTTGTGCCGCCAGTGCGCGACGAGGAGAGCGAAACGCAGCGCAAGGCGCATGCGAAGCGAGTCCGTGAAACGCGCCGCTCCACGCAGGGCGTAACGCTCGAGGAGATCAAGAGTGCCGAGGAGCTGGTCAAGAAGAAGAACTTGGGCATGAACAACAACAACAACAATAACAACAACAACAGCAGCAGCGTAAGTAGTTTGTGTGGCCAAGCTAAAGCGCTAAACCAAATGAAACATTTAGAGAAACAAAATCCATCCAACAATTCCACACACATTAAAATCAGAAATAGAGTTCACTAGCGAATCGTAGATCAGCCAGATCAGCCATACACACATTATCATCATGCATATCTATATATATATATATACTAGATGTTATATATAGTATTGTGACTTGTAGTGAGAAGAGTCCACAACACATGTACACCAACAACAACAACTACAGCAACAACAACAACAACTGCTTATGGTTATGGTATTCCCATTAATGTATTTGTTGTGTCTTCCACCCCCCTCAAAACAACGCCCACGTGTACGTATGTGTGTATGTGTCTGTGTGCCACGATTGCAACCCTGCAAACGTTAAGCACCTTTCTCTCTTGCCCCAATATCTCTCTCTCTCTCTCTCATGCCATTGCAGTCGTTTTTTGTTGGTGTTTGGTGTTTGTCGTTCTCATTTTTATGTGTATCTCTCCCACATTAAATGCGTGTGTGTGTGTGCGAGTATGTGCGTGTGTGTGTGCACGTTTGTTAAGCCTAGTTTTTAACAAAGTAAGCTTTATGGTAGCACTTAGTTAACTCCAATTTGTTAACCCAGACACTATGCAACAATAGGAGAGTTTGTTAAAAATATGTGAAAATAGTTTAAAGAAAAACTCTAAATCTAAACCAGGTTTAAAATATGCTTTAGATTAAAATGTGATTCTTAGCTTAAATATGTTTCTAAACAGAATTAATTAATGTTTCAAAATGTCTCATCTTTATGAAAGAACACTTTAATTTTTGAGCCACTTTATAAAGTAGCTCGTATCGTGATTTAATCATGATAATGGCGATAAACTCTTCTCTTCCCATTAAAGAAATGTTACCAAACCTTATTTATTTAATAACAAACTCTCCAGAGTAATTCACCAAGTACCTTGCCTGGTTGCATAGTGTGTGCGGAACACAGTCAAACCCCAAAATGTAGTCTAGTTGATCATGTATTCAATCAGCGTGCCCATCAATCAAATCAGTCGATCAATCAATCAGCGCACTCATTTAGCCTGCGTGTTCAGCTGCAATTTTTAACAATCAAATTGAGTTTTACTGCGATTGCGTTTGAGATTTCGTCTGCATCCGAGTTTTTTTCTTTTAAAAGTATTATTATTATTATTGCGCCACTGATCAAATTGAAAGCAAGTGCCCCGCCTCACCGCCGCCCGCCGCAGCCGCCAACGCCGCGTTCGAAACTCGCATCGGTTCTCATAATATCAAAATTTTCATTCATGTGGAGTATTTTTTTTCTATAAGATTTATTTTATGATTTCATCAGCGCAACAAAGCGAATAGCGTAATTGATTGTATGTATTTTAAGTTAATTTTATTTATATATATATAGAACTGATTGCTCCGATTTTTAAATACTATATATATACCATATTTATGTATTTGTGCATGTGCGAATTTGCATGCGTCTAGAGTTCTCTACAAGTATATCAAAGTGCCGGGGCACTCTACGTATGTCGTATGTATATGTTTTTGATCGTATACCGTATATCGTAACTATACTTATTATAATCGTTAACGGGGGGCCCCTCACCTCTCCCTAAAACTCATCCAGAAACGCCATTTGATTTTTGTTTTTGGAGACACGCTCAGGTCAACTGTTTTTTATTATTTGTTCCACAACTAATATTATTAACAGAATGAAACAAGCTCCACATCAAGCACCACAACAACAACAACAACATCAACTACTGCAACAGCAACTCCAAGCACAACAACTGCAACTGCAACAGCATCCAGCAACAGCAACGACGACAGCAACATTGAGAGCAGCAGCAGCAGCAGCAGCCTGCAACAACAGGAAGCGCAGCCACCGCCACCGCCAACAAGCCCGCCACCAGCCATAATACCGAGGACAACAACCACAGCGGATGATTTGGAGATAGTTGAGGCTGTGGTTGCCACACTGGCGCCAGCGGTTGTCGACAATGCGGATACCACCGCTAGCTTCACGCTGGCAGCACCAGCCACACGCATATCACACGGTGGCAATGGCGACCTTGCAGCATTTGTTGATGTTGCCGACAGCGATGCGGATGAGGATGAGCAGCAGACGGCGGTCAGCGCCAGCTACACGATAGTCTCGAGGCGAGAGAAGCCCGTCGAGTCGGCGGCGGAGTCGAGCAGCCACAAACAACTAAAGACTGATCCAGTTGCCAAGCAAGCGCACATGTTGGACACCGAAACTGGCGGCGAGTCCAAGGCAATGCAAGCCAGACCCACTGAACTGGCGCTGGCAGCAACAGCGCCAGCCGAAAGCAAACCAGCAACAACACCTGCCACAACGCCCAGCGCGCTGGAGAGTCCAGTGCGACTGCGGGACAAGCGCAGCCTAAGCAGCAATGCTACTGGAGGAGGATCTTCTCAAGAAACGGATGCCAAGTCGGACACGGCCTCGCCGGTGGGCGCACACGCGGATTTCAATGCGCGCGACTCTTTGCTCAGCTTGTATGCACGTCGTACTCTGGAGAGTGGTGGTGCGGGTGGTGCAGCCGTTGCTGCTGCTGCTGGCGCTGGAGGCGCAACTGTTGCGCCATCGACATCGTCGTCTTCAAGCACATCCATATCAGCAGCCGAGCGGCGTCCGTCTTGGCGTCTCAAGTTTGATGCGGGCTCAAAGGTATGCAAACAACAACAACAAAAAACAACCAACAACAACAATAAACAACTCAACTACTCAACTGACCTTTAATCGAACCATGACCTAAACAACAACCGTTTGGTGCGAAAACTATTTCGACTGGCTTTCAAAAACAGTTTTTGTTAAACTTTAAGTGTAGCATGTTCTTTTTTCTTAGTTTTAAAGTATTTAAATGTCTAAAGCGTGCAATTTCACTTAGCTTCGGTGAGCCGAAGTTGCGTATACCCTTACAAAAACAGCTCAAACAATAAACAAATGTTATACATGAAGGCAATTCCTGGGATTATATATAAATTTATTAGTCTTTAACAAATTACAATTGTATATTAGCTCATTCTGAGTTTTTGCAAGGGTACCGCATTGAATGAATTTGTAAGGCATATTTTAATTGTAGCTCTTAAATATTGTTTTATTTTTATTTTTCTTAAGTACTATATTTTTCTTCTTTTTTTATTCTATACTTTTTTTTAAATGTTTCTGCTCATTTTGAACGCCTGTCTCAATTGCTCTGCATCTGCATTTAGATGTTTATAACTATCCTATGTATAAATATATATATATGTATGTATTTATGTATTTGTTTTATTGTATCACACTCTAAACAATATGCCATTACGTATACTTACATTCTCGGAAACATGATATCGCACATGAACATTATTGTATATAGTGAATACATATACATATGCATATTATTCATTAATTAACGCTTTTTAACTTTTTGCTATGTCTGGCTTGCTTTTTGTTTGACTAAGTATTGATATTATACATATATTATTTTTTTTATTAATTTTTAATGATGCTATATACAGACAAAGATCTAGTTACTGAAAGGGAGGATTTAAATCTATTATAATATATATTTAATGACGGGGCTATCTGAGTTAGATCAGCAGCGAGTATAATAATTGTTATGAACTATATTATTTAGAAACGAAGCTCTACATCTTTCATGTTCTTTGTTACGTATTAAACTTCCTTGATATTTTTAAATCTTAAAGGGAAAATAACATTATGGTATTTAAAGAAACTTAAAAGAACGAAGCTGATTTGTCTTATGTTAATTGCTTGTTAATTAACAAAAAATATAGAAAATACTTCATTATACGGTTAAAAGCATTAATAGGTTAAAAAGGTTAAAGTTTTGGTAATACGGCTAAAAACTATCCCGCAACAAATTTAACGGTGTCTGGCGTATTGTCTACTAAAAATATTTACTAAAAACAACATAAAAATCGTTGCTAATTGCGCCTTGATTAAAAACAATATATTGAATTAATAAACAACAAATAAAACAACACATTACCAGCATAGCTTTTTACAATACCAAAAAAACAAACACATGCACACAAACAATAAAAACAAGAAGAATTCTAAAAGAGGGGCTACATATTCGAAAATAAACTAAAAACTTACCTGAAGGAGCCACAATTAATATGTTTTCCTTGCGCAGTTCAAGCTGGAGGACATCACTAGCGGTGGCACCTACCCGCCCAATCAGAGCACGATTATACCCAGCGCACCGGCCGTGATGGCCGCGGTTAATTTGGCCAGCACAACGGGCAACCCGCGTCGCATCAGCAGTGGACCCAATGCGCGTAAGTTAACTCGAAACAGTTTAAGGAAAACCTTTATTTACAATTTAAAATTGCTTGCAGTTAACGCTTCCAATCAATCGCTTAACTCGGTGGGTCGTCCGGTCTCTGCGCCCAGCGAGAGCATCAATAACAGCGCATATGTGACGCCGCCGGCGCGTAGATACGAGACATCCACGCTGGCGACAGCTGCCTCTACAACAGCCACAACAACTGCCACGACAGCCACCAACTCCGCGTCTGCATCCAGTGCCAACCATGGAACGGCGACTAGCTCCACGCCCGGACATGATGATAAGGGTAATCCGCACACTCTAACATGGCCCAAGCACATACTAAACGCACTGTTCTTGTCCGCTCTCTTCACAGATAACGACAAGGAGAACGATAATCGTACACAGACTGTTATACAACGCCGTCGCAAGCCCAAGCGCAGATCCACGGGCGTGGTGCACATCGATATGGATGTAAGTGGATCTCTAGCTCTCTAGCTCTAGCCAGGCCATTTGCCGCATGCGCATGCCAATTATTTTTATATTAAGACAAATTGCCAATTAGTTTAACTAATGTGTCTTAATCTCTTTGCCTGTCTAGGAAATCGATCCGGATCGCCAACACGATACGGCCAACAATGACAAGGAGGATAAAGATAAGGAGGTGAGCTAAACAATAACTATATTTAATTGTGATATACACATATTATATTAGTGTGTTCCGAATTAGTATTAAATTTTTGAAAAGTTCAAATAGAAACTAGTTTTCTAGAGAGAATTTTAACCATTTTAATATTTGAAACAAAATTCAGCTGCAGCTGCTCTTGAAAAACTTTTAAAGTAATTAAATCTAAAGTGAAATCATTTTAAAAATAGTCTACATATGTCGAAAATTGAAAAAAGCTTAAACAATTTGAACAATTCTCAGAATACGGTAAAAACTTTTCAATTCGTTTTCAAGCATTTTCAAACGAAATCGCAATTCGGAACACGGCTAATAATATATTTTTAATTATTTTGCTATACCTACAACAACAAGCAACAATCGGAACATATATTTAGTACATAAATATTTTCACACCTTGGGGCAAAAATTAGGCTCAAAATGTAGCTGGCCCGGCGGTTGCTTTCGTTTGCTTCAACAGCTGCCTGTCTTCCGTCTAATTGCGTAGTCAATACTGCACCTGACACGCACACTCACACACACACACACACACACACACACACACACACACACACACCCCTCTACACACCCGTCACACCTTGTCACGCTTTTAGACAGTCCCGTGCGTCCTTCAAAGTAGCTGCTGGTCTGCTCGGAGGGGGGACTCTTGTCTGTTCCAATTAGTGAGCGACCCATTTGTGCGAAAACAGAAATTATGATTTCCATTAGAAGAGGTGCAAGAAGAAGCTGAACGTGCATGCACGTGGCATTGTGAATGCCATTGCTCCAATTGTGAATGATAATAAGTGTATTGGGGCATTTTCATATTGCAAGCTGCATTGCAAATCCTTTCATGGCCGAGGTCAAAACTATTAGTGCGCATCCAATTTGTGACAATATTTGAGATTTTTGACTTTCAACGAACCTGTTAACAATTTATTCAAGCATTTGACCAGTTGCCGTTGTTGGCCATTAATAAAACTGTCACATTTTCTAAATGCATTTTTGTCGGACACGACTCGACTATATATAAAACTATATAATGCAGCAGACAGTTTGTCTGCTCATCTGTCTTTAAGTCATTCTGATTTGCGTTTGCGAAATAGATGTGGGGGAAATATAGAAAGTTGATTCAATTTCATATTTCTTGCTAATACTCGATTACTTACTCCTTGCTTTGTTTTTGATTGATAGTTTTTCTATAATAATTAATGGATTAACTTATATTATAAACAATGTATTAAATCTTGCCAAAAATCAAAAGTTAAAGTACTCAAATCAATTCATATCCTCTTTATAATAAGAGGAGTGCAATGTTGATAATATGCAAAGAGCAGCAAATTTAGTCAGCTCAAATTCGGCAAACTCCTTTTCCAACTATTAAAGTGGCATTAAGAAAAAGCGGCAGCCAAACTTATTATACCCTGCACCCATTAATAGTTAAAATTAGGGTATATTGGTTTTGTGCAAATGTATAACAGGCAGAAGGAAGCATCTCCGAGCCCATAAATTATATACATTCTTGATAAGCATCAATAGTCGAGTCGATCTATAAGGCATATAGTTATTATATACATATGTGTGTGTGTGTATGTATGTTTGTGTGTGTGTGAGGGCGTGTCTGTGTATGAACGTATGTATGTATGCATTTATGAAAATATGTATGCATGCATGTTTGTTTTCTAATACCAAACGCAGACAAAGCTTATTTGTCGCTGTGCTGCAAATTTAAATAAAACGAATTTCTACCAAGTGCTCTACTCCTCGATTCTCAAGAATTCAAGTAGGCTCTGCAGTTTTTCATGCTTAGCTAGTAGTGTAGCGTTTTTTTTGTTTTTATTTTTTAGTGTTTTTTTTGGTGTATATTTTTTTGTGTTATTTTTGTTTTTTATTTTTTGGTATGTATGTATGTATGTATGTATGTATGTATGTATGTATGTATGTATGTATGTATGTATGTATGTATGTATGTATGTATGTATGTATGTATGTATGTATGTATGTATGTATGTATGTATGTATGTATGTATGTATGTATGTATGTATGTATGTATGTATGTATGTATGTATGTATGTATGTATGTACATATGTATGTATGTATGTATGTATGTATGTATGTATGTATGTATGTATGTATGTATGTATGTATGTATGTATGTATGTATGTATGTATGTATGTATGTATGTATGTATGTATGTATGTATGTATGTATGTATGTATGTATGTATGTATGTATGTATATATGTATATATGTACGTATATATGTATATATGTATGTATATATGTATGTATGTATGTATGTATGTATGTAACTATATATGTATGTATGTAACTATGTATATATGTATGTAACTATGTATGTATATATACATATATGCATGTACGTAGGTATCCGGACATGTTTTCATACATGTACGCATGCATTCATGTTTCCATATATACAATGCAAACATGCATACATGTTTGCATATATACAATACAAATATGCATACATGTATGTACAAACAGGCATTCATATGTTATATATGCAATCTTAAAAGTTCGCCCAAAATTGAGAAACATGTCTCAAATGACATTTTATACACATCCTTGGAAATGAATTTAAACGCGAAACGTCACCCACGAAATCTTTGACCCCAATTTCCACAAAGGAAACCCCGTCTTAACGTGCACCTTCATCTCAAAAGGTAACTACAGTGAAAATTTCGGCTTAGGTAAATGGTATAATTAGTTTCCGAAATATATATGCTCTCATCTATATATTCACATGCTCTTATAAAACATTGACTTAAAGATGTTTCTAATAGTATTAAGTACTAAAATCAATGCATATCCTTCTTTTAATAGAAGCAAAATAAAGTTGGAAGACAGTTCCAGATAGTATACTCTTCGGTTCAGATATATTATATATAGTATCCATTCTATATATCTGCTTTTATCTATCGTATATACTTGTCTGGAAAACCAATTTTACTTTATTACCTAATTCTTAACTTCCTGATAAGAAACACAATTGTTAAGATAGGGACCTGAGATTTGGAACCCCAAGATTTGGGCACAGTACGCATCTATATCCAACATTTGAGGATAATATCAATCGCAAGAAACTATGCTTTAGGCATTATATTTGATTGCCACCCTGGTCTTGTAGTCTTTGCTATATGTGTTTGTGCCTAATCGTGTCAACCATTTGGGGCTGATTGACGATGTCAAGTGTTTGTGCTTTTCGGCATATGTGTGCACATAAATACGATACAGCACAAGTTGCGGCTAAAGCTATTAAACACTTTCACAATGCGCTTTTCACACAACAAATTGCCCACTTAGAAATGCCGCACGCCCCAAACAACAACAAGAACAGCAACAATTTACACAGATCGCTCACACGTACATTGAACTTTGTTTTCCCGTGGCATGGCGCATCCCTCGCCTTGCTGCTGCCCCTGCCACAGAGGCAGCGCATAGAAATGTACAACATTGCGCCGCATTTGTCGCTAAATTTATACATTTTGTAATTTTTGCATTTTGTAGTTTTGCGTTTAAGCATTTGTTTCCTCATTCCCTGCCTGCTGCACTTTTCACCAGTGGTTGCTCGGGGAGAGGATTGCAGCAGAGGGGGGAGATGTTCTGATGCTGCCTCCGTCATGTGCTATATTTAGAGAGAGACTATACTAAACTTTTTGGCCTAGTTATGATTGTGTACTTTTAGGGTAGCAAACGGTTGCAACTTCGTATGTAAATTTAGCTGCAAATGCTCCACTCCCCACTTGCTTCCACTCTCTTTCTCTCCCTTTTTCTCTCCCTGCTCTCTGACATGTGTCACGTGTCGTTGACTGTTTCGCCTTTTGGCCCAGTTGCTGCCAGGGGCTGCCTCAGCTGACCCCAGCATAGTTTACACATTTGCGTCTCGGACATTGGGCCAATTAAGTGTGCGAATTACTAAATTTAGCTGGCAACACACAGGTGAAATATATATATAAACACACACACACAAACGCGCACACCTTCTGTGTGCGCAATTCAAGTGAAAAAGTCCATTGCTGCCAAGGCTTTTACCCCCTCCCAGCAGCTGCAACTCTTTGTTTTCATATTTTATAGACGCAGTTTATAATAATCAGATTCTTCTTCAGTTTTGCCAGCGCGTTTTTCCGGCTTTTCATTTCATACGCGTTTGCTTCTCTTAAGACAACTTCTCTTTCTCTCTTAACTCTGGCGTCTTTTTGCTCTCTCTCTTGTGTTTGATGACTATTTCTGATCGTGCGCCAAGTTTTTCGTTTGTTCGAATAAAACATTTGGATACTTTGCTTGGATCGCACAGTTGAGTTTTATACGGCTAACGCAACGGATCAACAGATTCCGCAGATCAAGCAACAACCACAAGAGGCAGCAACTAACGCAAATCAAATTCAAATTCATTTTATTATTTCCAAGTAAATCACAATTGAATAGTGCATTGACCAAAACCACAAGGGCTGTCAAACGTGTCAAAAATTTGCAATTTTCGCTATCAGTTTACCAGAGATCCGAGATCTGAGATTCAAGACTCTTGAGAGTCTCCACAAGGGGGGAAAACTTGGATGTGTGTGTGTTGGTTTTGTATTGAACGTGTTGTTGCCATATTTAGAGTATTGCGCACAATTTTGTTTTATTATTATTACTTTTTTTTTTTGGGCATTTCAAGTTTTTTTTCTTGGTGGCTTTGAGGCTCTGTATATGGTCAAATATTTTGATCAGTTTTTAATTTGATTTCGTGCGCGTGTTAAAGGTTAAAGTTCAACAAATTGCATTGAAGCAAACATTTAATAAATCTGGAAAATCATTTCTATCAGCACTTTTTGTCTGGCAACTACTTGAATTGATTTTCTAATTATTATCTGTTGATTTTGATTACAATTGAGCAATTCAATTTTCGTTTAAACATTTTCTTTATGTATTTATAAATTCACTTTTATCTACCATTTCATAATCCCTTAAAACTTGCTCCCTGATCTTGGCATCAATTTGTTGCTGTCATGAAACAGCAACAATAAAAAACAAGCTGACTTTTGAAATGTTTTATCTGAAATTAGCCAAGTTAAATTGTGGAAAATGAAATATATTGTTGCAATACGCCGAGACAGTAAAACTTTTTTTAGTGTCTGGCAAAGACGCTTCATTCATGGGCAAGATCTTTATAGATATAGATGGCTCATTAGATGAGGAAATAGACGAGCCATAATTTAAATGCACTCGACAATGATTAAATGAAACGTTTTTGTGCCCTGTGTGTGAATACGATAGGGTATATTGGGACTGCAAAAGATGAGTAGAAGAAAAGTGTGGAAAGTTATGAAAGTTTTGAAATATGTTGGGTAGATCCTTCAATAAATAAGTTGATTAAGTAATTGATCAATATTATAATCAGCACTCTACTCAAATAAAGCAGCAAAGTCGATTGTTATTTTGTTAACATCTTTGATTTAAGGGTATGTCGTAGTCGTTCAGTGCTTAGCATGCAGCAAATTAGCCTGTTGTTCGGCCTGCTCATGTCTGCTGCTTGACTCTCGCGTGGGTGAAGCATCAACTTAAGACATTAACACCGCACAGTAAATAAATAAATAGAACACGCCATGGAGTCGTCCGTCCCATCCATAGATTAGTAGTGCTTCTTGCATGTGTTTTCAATATTATTATTAAACATATGTAGAACGAACAGACCTCCCCAAACGCGCCCGCACACGTACAGAGCACACATCCAAACACACCTAGGGAAACGCTTTTCTACCGCATTGCGGAAAATTTAAAACAGAATGTCAAAATTTATGTCTTGACGTCATTTTGTGGCTCGATTGCTTCAATCTGTGGAGAGGGAGTGTGTGTGTGTGTGGGGGGTGATTGAAGGGGGCCACGGCTGAGAGCCACATGTCAATATTGCGTTTTCCTTTTCACATTTAAACAACGTTTCGCTTTGTACAGCAAATTTGTTTGTTTTTCCACTTTTGTTTATGCCAAAGAAGAAGAAAAACCACATTTAGTTCACAAACATTTGGAAAATGGCAAATGGCAAAAGTTCTGGGGCTTTTCTCTGACCTGGCAAACTGTTTCAAGTGTAATTGCAATTTGGCGGCATCGATTGATGTATGGCCCCTAAAATGTATACTAAAGATCGATTTCTTTATAGCCTTTGTAGAGTAACAGGGAGGGAAAGATCGTAAGAGAAAGAGAGAGGTAGTGCGCATTATGTCCTTTCGCTCAAGACCGCGCACACAGGCGCCGCTCGCCAGTCGACGGCGCTCGCTGTCCTCCAGCTCGCGCATGGGCGCCACAGGAGCTGGGGGCAGCAGCTCCGCCTCCGCTGGCGGCTACAACTACAATGGAGGCAGCAGCAGCTACAATGCCAGGCCCCTGAGCACGGGCTACTATCCGAGCAGCAGCAGCAGCGGCGCTGGCACCGGAAATGGCGGCTATCAGAGCCCCTACACCAGCATCTACAGCTCGAGGGAGAGCCTCTATGGCGGCGGGGGTGGCAGCAGTGTTGGTGGGCGTGGCTCGGCAGGGTCGTACTATTCGAATGGTAATGCGAGCAATCGTTATGACTATAGCAAATATCATCCGCATCAGCCTTATCAGCATTATCAGCAGCCAGCTGGCAGCTGCTCATCCGCTTCCACATGCTCATCTGGAGGCAGTGCCTCCGCCTCCTCCACCAGCACTAAAAGTAACCATAGAAACGGCAGCTACTACCAACTGCACCAGTTGCAGGCTTCCTCAGGCAATCATCAGAATCACTACCACATCGTTGTTAGCAAGCAGCATCACGCCAGCAATAGTTATGGCAAATCTAAAGCATCTGCTCTTTCCAACTCCACTGGCACCACCACCACCACCACCAACTCATCCGCTGCCTGCTCCAATGCCCACACAGCCACTGGCGGCTATGACAGTTCGCGCTACGGCTATCCGAGTAGCTCGACGTCCAGCTACGGCAGCGATCATCGCTATGTCAGTCCTTACTCCAGCAGCTATGACAACGGTGTGACCACCGCCTCGCTCAGCTTCAAGTCGCCGGGTCTGAGCGCCTCCAATTCGTTCAAGGGCTCGGCCAGTGCGCGCCTGCTCAAGACCAAGTCCTTGTCCACATCCAACAGCAGCCTCAATGCGCCAACCAGCGCCGGCGCCACCGTGGCGGCCATTGCGGCCACGCGCAGCAACTCGCTGCGGGAACAGGAGCGCAAATCGCGCAATCGCACACGTTCCCGCAGCGCTGCTCAGCGTTCGATCAGTGCCTCCTCGGAGAAGAGCGAGGGCTACGAAGTAAGCAATTGGGCGAAATGTTCTGCTATGTTGTTGTAGGCAGCAAAATAATTAAAATTTGATATTAATAGAGGTTTAGATTGCGTGTCTGCATATTTAGCATGTGCTTTAATCCATTGAATTATCTTTTACAGAGCGGCAGTGAACGCACCTCACGTTCCCGCACCACGAGCACAGCGACAACGAGCACCGGCAGCGATTCAAAGAGCTCCAGCAGCAACGACAAAGCGGAAAACGGCGATGGCATCGACTACAAGGCGCTCTGGGAAGCGGCCAAGTAAGTAGAAAGTGCAGCAAAGGTTTATTATAGGGTAAATCACGGGAGGAATTCCTGAGAGAAGATCTTCTCCTCATAAGGATGCAGTAAGTGGGTACTAGCATAGTTTCGTGACCAGGCCAAGTAAGTATTGGAGAGCCCAGTGAGCCAAAGTGGCAATGGGTCAGGTCAAAGGCCAGTTACTGGGGGATTATTAATAAGAAAACCTTAAGCGGCCAAGTAAGTAGCAAGTGCAGCTAAGGGTATCATATAGCACATCAATTGGAGGATTAGCTGTGAGAAGATCTTTAACATTAATAAGCACGTAGGAAGTGTGCTAGTGGCTAGTGCTAGTTCCGTGATATATTCACCAGGCTAAGTAAGTATTTTAAAGTGAGTTTACCCAGTGAGTGTGAAAAGTGTCAATTGGTCAGGTCAAAGGCCAGTTACTGGATGATTATCAGAAAGAAGACCTTAAAAGTTAGTGTATAGGTACTCAACGGTTAATGTCTAAAAGAGGAAGACCTATTTTAGTTCTATGTGGCCAAGTAAGTATTGTTTAGTCTAGAGAGTGCACCCATAAGGGAAAAGGGCTTAGGAAAGGTCACTGGAGAATTAGCAGAGAGAAGTTTACACACCCCTAAAAATGCAGAGCGTAAGTTCCAAAATTCCTGATGTTCCATGACCATTTTGAAGCAGGTAATAAAATAATGAGTAAAGCCAAGCTTCGTGTAGTCATTAGCCATCCAATTAGTCATTAGTCATCACACTCCCTACATTATAGGACTCAATGTTCTCCTATATAATAACTCTCTCTTGTCTCTCTCTTAGACTGGAGAACGACAAGCTCAAGCAAATGCTCAAGCAGAAGGATGACGAAGCTGTGCAGACGCGTGCGACGCTCGAGCGCTTCGCCAATGCCGTAAGTAGACACTCACTAACATGCCACGCCCACTAATACTAAACTAATAAAATACCAAAAATGTATTTTAAAAATACCAACCAAAAGCAAAACTCTCAGCAGTAACAAAACAAAAACAACGCACAAACAAAAACCACAGTTCAATTTCTCTCTCTCTCTCTCGCTTTAACTCTATAAGCGTCTGTTGTGGCCAGGCCGTGCTCTCTTTCGCTATTTCACGCATACTTGCACAACTCAAAGAATACCGTATACACCTAAAATACCGTCTAAACCCAACAAATAGACACAAAACAAACAAACAAACAAGAAAAAACACTCCTGAGCTCATATTTAACATGGCTCTAATCAAAATTTTTGCCCCGCTTGCCGCCCGCGCTCTATATCTTTTCGCTCTCTGTTTCTGTACCCAAAAAAAAAGAAAATATATATATATATGTACAACACTACAACTGAACAACAGTAACAGTATGACACGATACCGTTATCCCACATACTATATACATATATAGAAATGCAAAGCAAACGCCAAAATTTGTTCCATTTCACATTCGCAGACCACTAAAAATTCACTCTCTGAGATTGAGAAACGTGAAAGAAGAGCTATGGAACGCAAGCTTTCCGAATTGGAAGAAGAGCTCAAGGTAATTACAAATGTGTTCCCAATCCACACCCTACCACCACCACCCCACCCCCCTTTTCCATAACAGTGAACGTCTCCTGCCTGTATGCTGTTTGTGTTTTTTATTTCACTATTTTTCTACCTTTTTGTTAATGGGTCCCAGGTATCGCAAACCGTTGCGTTAGATGCCATCAGTACTTCGAGCCCGTATGATTTCTGATCTTTGCTTTTCTGTTTTATAATTTGGCCGAAAGTTGTTCATTTATGATATTTAATTTTTGTTATGAATACCTGCCGCATGTGTTGGAGGAGTAAGCTGCACCGCCGGCACCTCTTACAATAATCCCCCTGCTTTGTTTCTTTTACATTTTATCCTAACCCTATTGTTTAATTTCCCATCTTAACATAGTTTTAAAGCAATTCTGTTATAGCTGCACTCCGTTCCGATTTCCCTGCCTCGCACCCAGTTAAAAGACCACCAGATCTTACAGCTGTTACAGACCGTATATCGTATATTCATTATATTTTCATTACCTCGCTTTATCTTTTTGGCCACTTTCTCGAATTACTCTGTGTATGCGTTTAACGGCACAGTTGCGATTGTTTATTTTACATTTAACTTATATTATTTTTACTTGCGATAGCTGCACATAAGCTGCTGCTTTGATTGATTCTTTTTTCGTGAACCCAACCGATATCCAAAAACTGTCATCTGTATATACATAGTCACACATAGAACAATCATCTTCAATGAAACGAATCATCTTCATCTACTTGTCTGTCGCATTGTCCAATTGTCCATTTTCTCATTCTCATTCTCTTTCGTCAATCACATTGTCAGTCATTTGTTGTTATGATTTGGTCACACTACCCATGCGTTACACGTTTACCGTTATACGTTATACGTTTTACGTTATTCATTTGGCCTGCACTTTGGTGCGCCGTTCTCTTTAATCTTAACGCATTGCGCTCATTTCAAACAAACAACAAAAAAAAAAAGCTCACTTAAATTTTGTTTTTCTTTTCTCTCTCTCTTCCCACGCGCGCCTCATCCATCGAATCGAATCGAAACGAAATGTATTGAAAAACCAAACAAATACCAAAAACATATATACAACATACAACAAATGATATGCATATGTATCGCAACATACGCTTTGTTTTGTATTTTCTTCTTTATCGCTGTGTTGTTGTGTCGTTTTAGCTATTGCAGAAGCTAAAGACTGAGAACGACCGCCTGCGTGCCGAGAATCGAGCCCTCACGCGTGTCGTCTCTAAGTTGACCACCTCGGCACAGAGTCAGCTGGCCAAAAGCAAATAGGCAACAATTTACAACAAGCAAAAGAAATAAACAAAAAAAAAGAATATCTAAATATATTGAAAAACAGCATAATCGAATATCGTAATCGCAAACCGCTATCGTAATCGTAATCGTTATTGTTATCGTTTCTTTAAATACTCGAGCTGCATACAAATACTTACATACGTACATGCATACCTAGTTAAATTCTTAGACATCGTACACCCATCATCTAGCCTAGAGATATTCAGACACCACAACTTTTAAGATTCTTCTATTATCGATATTGTTTATTATCATTATCATTATTATTATTATTATGAGACAAACAACAACAAGAACAATTTGCATTGTTATATTGAGCGCAACGTGTAACAATAATTAAATGTACTGTAGTTAAATTAAGTTTATAACTTTTGGAGGGCAACGAGCACTAAGCAGGCAAATTTCTATTTTTGCACCGCTGTACTATTAGCCTAGAGCAAAATTATACAACACAAACACACACATATTATATTAGTCATACGAAATAATACAGAATATAACGTTACAAGATATAGCACAGCATATGGCAACAACTATTTATATATATACACATAAATATCGTATACATACGTTTAATCAAAATCGAAAACTACATCAAAAATCGTAAATCGTAAATCGTAACTCAACGCAACTCAAGGATATGCCCAAATGCTCAACAATGCTGCCCACCACAACAACAACAACAACAACAATTGCAGCATCTCGGTCGTGGCACGAGCACCAAGATCATCATCAGCACAGATCTATTAACTTGTTTCTTATATGCAGTGAGCTTTACGGTAAATGTTCCCCACCAAATGCGAAGAACCTGCATCATATATGAGCTGGCTGTTGTTTTGTTGTTGCATATTACCAATAATAATACATTAAAAAAAAAACTAAATCTTCTCAGCAAATTTAGTTATAATTGTTTTATGTGCGAGTGTTTCAAACTGTTAGGAACAACTTCGAATCAGAAAAAGAAAATATATGTAGATAAAATTTTATTAATTTATTTTCCTGCTGCTTTGAAACACTCGACTGTATATATATATCTATTTAATGTATAATCTATCAAATCTATAACTATATGTACCATATTTGTCAAATTGTTTCCTCGTGTTGTTAATATTGTTGTTACAAGTTTTTTGGCCGAAATTTATACTCTTGTGTGTTTTTCTTACCTATATCTTTATATATCAGTTATATCTGAGTTATCCAATAAAAGTTCACCCATTGTATTTCCTTTTCAAGCTGTTTGTTGTCCATTTTTTCCCCTCTTGAAATCTTTGTGGATCTGAGTTCTACATTTCGCATTCAGCATCAGGAACCTGAGCATCATATATCGAGTATATTTCGCTTATCGTCCATTGTGTGTCATAAGAAACCATATATCTTTTATATTAAGTATTTGGTGCAGAGTTCATGTGTTTGCAATTGAAACCAATTTATTTCTGATTCTTTTCTTGGTGGGTTGTGCATGTTGTTTTGGTATGTTTTTAGGGCGTATTCAGTTGGAGATACGAGATTCTCTAGAGATTATGTTTTAATTAATCGTTTGTTTGTTGTTCTTGTTGTTGCTGATGCTGCTGAGTTGCTTTCAGAGAGCCGCAACCCAACTAATCCGCATGATTTCTTTGTTACAAAATACAACTTACAATATATATACATATATATATCCCCTCAATCTGATTGGAGTCTATAATTCAATGTGCTGCTGCGCTACTTGTATTAATTATGTTTTGTACTTTTTTACTAATTTTATTTAATTTTCTTTTACTTTTGCTGCACCAACAAACAAAAACAAAAACTAGCAACTTGATGCCTACAAGTCGGACAATGACCGCCTGAAGGAGGAGAACGCCGCGTTGATTAGAGTAATTAGTAAATTAAGTAAATGAAATTATGTCGTAACTTAAATTTACTCAAAAACAATAACAACAACAAAAGAAAGATAAACAAAGAAAAACAAAATCAAGAAAGAAGAGAACAATTTCGTTGGAGCGATCAGTCAACCACGCGAAATGGATTCAACTAAATTATCTAAAGAAAAGTTCTGTTTATTATTATTATGATTATAAAGAAAATTGATTATTATTTTTGTGTGTTAAGGCATTTAAGCGCTAGATGAAACCATGTTTCGAAAATCGTTGAAAATTGTTTTGTTTAATTTCTCTCTCTCAATCTTCCAAAATTAATATATATATTATCAAGAAGTTGAAGAATGGAGCGTGTATTTGGTCAAATTATATATACACATACATTTATATATATATATATATATATATATGTATACACAATAGAGAAAATTATAAACATCAAAAAAAGTTAATTATAGTTATAGATGTTGTCTAACGGTTAATTTCAAACAAAAGAAAACCTTTACGAAAAAAAAAACTGAGAACATATTCATCAAATGAGCCCTAGTTACAGATTAGTTTAACTATATATTGCATACATACAAACATATATTTTTCATATATACATATAAATTATATACATACACACACAAACACACACACACACACTCACCCACACATACACACAGTCACTATACACATGTTTAAAACTCATACAGCTTAGAGGATTAAACTGTTTGTGAGAAATGTTTTGAAACCATCCCACGCAATGTCAACGTACTAATTTATTAAAGCTGTAATTGTTTTTAAAAAGAAACTCATTTAGTTTTAAACATATATTTTGTATAATCGATCCGTGGATATACATACATAAAAACATGTGGCATATGCATATGCAACAATATTATCGTTATACGGACGACATATATGAATTAAGCGCAGCTCTCGCATGTTACTTTTCATTTCATTTAGAATGATATACTATGTCATATATTAACTTAACTTAACCATGGCGCTCTAGTACATGCACAAGAGTTGTAGTTTAATGATAAATATATATATATATATGAATTGTATACTCCTAATTAGATATGATGCAGTTGCATATGTTGCATATGCATATGGACGATTTAATTCATTATGTTAATTTAAGTTGTTCACTTTTGAAACGTATTATATATATCGTACTCTATACATATTTCAATTTCGCTTATAACATTATTGAATTCGTTTAAGAGATTTTTTGTGTTACTCTCGTGATGGAAAACGACAAAACAAACTGAAAAACAAGTGAATTGTGTAATATGTAAAATTGTGAGAAAATATTCAAATACGAAACTTAATAAATGTGATCGCAAAGTAATCTTAAAAAGTTTTTCCTCGAAATCAGAATTTTAATCTGATCTGTTTTCTATGAGACATATATATTTTTGATATGTATAGAAGATTGTATTCTGATTATTGATACTTAATCATTGATGCTGAAAAAGATACTAAGATATAAAAGATCGGGAAAGTTCGATCGGTGAAATGAATACGTATGACCAAATCGGAAGCACTCGAATCTTTGGTAATTTATCAAAATTTTCTATTTAAAGATCAGATAAGTTTATTGTGGCAACGATTAGTTGCGCCAGTAGAACCGAAATGATGCATGAAATGTTTTTATGTTGTACTTAAAAAGACAATGACACTAATCGACTGATTTGCCCAATTATTTGGCGATTATTTGAAGTATTTAAAATAATTATGAAAATCGTTATATTTCCTTATTACCAAACCAAAAAAGTCCCCTTTGCTAGATATCCCTAGTAAATCGAATATGTAAGAGAAGAAGACTTCGACGTCCCTGGTTTTATTAAAAAAGTCTTAAAACCCGGCATGTTGAGCAACTAATTCACATTAATGCTCTTTAATTCAGTTTTTAACGCCCTGAGTTAGAGGTTGCAAGAAGGGTTAATGGAAATGACCTTTGATGTGCCTCATTAGGTAATTTACCCTAAAACAATTTTACTGTAATTCGTCCGATCGGGTTAAACCTGATTTTGAAGGTCTACAAAAAACATTAATGAATACTTAGTTCAGCGAATTTAGAAGCGCCGCCTTCTAGGTCGGAAAATGCCTGGAATGCTGTTGTTTTCAATTATTTAGTTTTTCATCCCATTAACTTCAATGAATTATCAATAAAAAACTCATTAAAGTTGTGTGTTTAGGCCAAATCTATTTCAACTTCTTGCTCTAGTATGTGTGTAAGTAAATCTTGTGTACGTGAAAGCTTGTAAATACGCATCCGTATATATATACAAATGTGTGTGTATTTATGTGTGCGTGAAAGTTCCGTGAGAGTTTTTAAATTCCGCCCTACTATGCGATTCTCATGATTAAAAATAAGATTCGCAGGCTTCTACGGTGGAAGAGATGAGGGCGGAGAAGCAACAGAAGGAGGAAGAAGACTTTTATGAGGAGGAGTGGGTGCAATCTAATACATTTATTTATGTATGTATGTTTGATTATGTGTGTGTATATTTTCTCCTATACCAAAAACTGACCGAGTATACTTCAAACTCTCTCACACTCCTTCACCCTCTCATTCTCTATGTACCTCTCTAACTCCCTCTCTTATTTTACCTCTCCTTTTTTGCTCTTACTTTTATCCGCTTCTGTTTTTTTGTGATTTTTATATCTTCCACCTTCTAATAGATGACAATAAACTTAATTGTTAGCGTAGATGTGAAGTTTTGGGTAAGTATAAAATTTGTATATGTAAACACAGCTGAAAGCTTGGAATACGAACGTAGTGCATATTTTAAACAAATGACACCTATTACTATACTATACTATACTACTATACTACCATAGAACTATACTACTATACTACCATACTACTATACTACTTAACTATTTAAAGCTCATGCTATTTTCGTTGTGAGTTATGAAAGTGTGTGGGACCACACAACTGAAATGTTATTTTTATTACGCTCCTAATTAGTCACCTTTCTTTTAAGAATAGTCTTCAAGTGCGTGCTGCCTAACATAATGTATGCACACGTAAATAGATTTAAGTTAGATTTAAGCACGCACTCGCGTACGCAGGGGCGTATGGTTAATTTGACCTCTGATGGGAAATTAAAATGATTGCCGAGTGAACGACCTTTAAATGCCCCAACTACACGTGACCATATACCGAGTCGTAAACCTGGAACATAAACAGGAGTTGGCATTTTTAATGGACCCGCAAACAAGGCCCACGGTGCCGCCAAACCAAAACAAACTCAACTCGACTCAACGGTTTGGCAGCTGCGCTCAAAAGCCAATTGAGTGGAAATGCGTTGAGCGCGGCTTAAATAAGTTTTCAGTAACCAAAAAATAGTCAGTTCCGCTCAAAGCGTCTCCACGTTCACAACGTTCGTCGTCGTCGTCGGCAGTGCTGGGCTTTGAAAACGGCTGCGGAAATAATAGCCAAAAATTTGTTAACCTGGCCCATTGCAACGCCGCGTCGCACAAGTAAACCAAATTTATATAAGTTTTGCAAGTTGTGAAATTGAAGTGTGTAGCCAAATAAAAAAAAGGAAAAAGTAATAAAAAAGATAGAAACAGAAAACGATTTGAAACGGATTTCAAAAAGTGAGTTTATGTTAATCGATTACATAATGGGGAAAGGATATAGAAATCCACACACAAAAAAAAAAAACACCTACACAGCAATAAGAGAAAAATACTCAAAGCGAGTTAAAGTCGCTGCCTGGAGCCGAAGAAAAACTTTCGCTTTCACCGAAGCGCCAGGCATGAGCTTTTCTCGATCCGCAACTGGTCTTAATTTTATTTATTTATAGCCATATTGATGCTGCATATTAGCCATTAGCCAGAGCGCTTAAGCCCGAGCCAAGATCGCAGCTATTATGCATGTGTGTGTGTGTGTGTGTGTGTGTGTGTGTGTGTGTGTGTGTGTGTGTGTGTGTGTGTGTGTGTGTGTGTGTGTGTGTGTGTGTGTGTGTGCTTGAGTTCTTGGGTTTCACTTTCCGCAAGGCCCCACAAAATTATTCAAATTGATTTCGAAATTCTGTAGTATAATATATTTGGTATTGGGCAACGAGTTAATTAAAATACGTTATACGTTGAGTTTTGAATTTTAAGCCAAAGGCCCGCGGCAAGGTCTCGTCCGCCAAAGTTGGCTAATGCCATAAAAAACAAAGTAAATAAAAAAACTTACCCACAATGTGCAATCAGTGTGCGTGCGTGTGTGTGTTGCTGTGAATCTCCAGTTATGAATATGTACATATGTACATACATACATATGTGCTTTTCATTAATATTCACAAGCGATCACAATTTAGCAATTGCATTAACGGTCACACCATTGTGACCTCGCTGCGAACACCAGTTGAATATAGCCCCAAATATATCAAATTATACATACGTATTTCTAGGGGTTTCTTATAGAGCTGCTTGATCAATTAGTGTTACGAATTCGTACACTTGTATTCGTACACCTGTCCACTAACCGTTAAACGTGCCGAGACTCTATAATTAACCGTTCTACTGAGTCTTCTGGTCTTTTCCTAATGATATTACATTTTGATCCCGTCAGTTACATTCTAATGATGAGCGCATGTAATCCGAAAGATCACGTGGCCCAATACTGTAACAAATGAAAAAAAAAAAAATGAATAATTAGTATTCATGTGGCAAAGATTCAATTTTGAGCGCTTGCATTCGAGTGACAAATATTTGTCATTAGTTTAAACGCAATAGTTTAGTTAAGTGGGCGGCATAATCGAGTCTTACATCAATATCCGGCACTTCGGACTCGAGTTACATTTTGAGTGAGTTGTTTAGTCAGGAGTTGAAAGCTTTGCTTTGGCCACAAACTCGTTTCGAGTGTTTTCTTTGCGCCTGCTTCCGCTCTGGCACTCTCTCGCACTCACTCTCCTTTTCTTATACGTATGTTATTGTTGTTGGTGCTTTGTTTGCTGTACTTTTGGTTTTTGTCAAATCTTATGCTATGATGTAACAACGCGACTAATTGGCAGAGCGGATGCAGAGAAAGAGCGAGCAAAAGAAAACACAAATTGCACGACGCAAAGCACAGCTTGAAGTGCGCTCTCCTTCTGCTGCTGCCACTGGCTGTCTGCTGCTGTCTCCTGCTGTCTCCTGCACGCCTTTGGGTATGGCCATATGACCCAAAAACACAATCGTCAATAATTACTCACATATACACACGCGCGCACACACACACACACACGGACATGGGCTTGTAAGCTGGGCATAGTCAAAGCAGGGCATGTTACGAATTTCATT